TCTCCTGCTGATGTTCAGGTGTGTATCAGTATGTAGTGTCTCTACTTTAAAGAGTCCTCTCCTGCTGATGTTGAGGTGTATATCAGTATGTAGTGTCTCTACTTTAAAGAGTTCTCTCCTGCTGATGTTCAGGTGTGTATCAGTATGTAGTGTCTCTACTTTAAAGAGTTCTCCTCCTGCTGATGTTCAGGTGTGTATCAGTATGTAGTGTCTCTACTTTAAAGAGTTCTCTCCTGCTGATGTTCAGGTGTGTATCAGTATGTAGTGTCTCTACTTTAAAGAGTTCTCTCCTGCTGATGTTCAGGTGTGTATCAGTATGTAGTGTCTCTACTTTAAAGAGGATCTGTACCAGATAGTCTTTTTTTACTAGTCTGTAGAATATCTGGACTTTTCACATATTTTGCTTTTACAAAATATTGCGATTTTAATCTTGATTACATTGAAAGTAACGTTGCAGCGTTAGACAGTTGGACTGATGGTCTGTGCAGCAAGAAGAGGACAGATTGATAGCTCCTGGAGAAGAGAGAAGGAGGGCAGAGGAAAGAGGAAAGGAGTCAGGAAACGGTGATGCAGCGCTGGGGAGGAAGAGGACGATGAATAATGGATGCTTCTCTAAATAGAAAGAGCTGCACTCAGGATCAGAAACACTCTTTAAACTGGAACCGGCCCGTTAGAGGACCACGTTTTAATAATACAGCATTATCCTGAAACACAGTTTGATAAAAGGAGCTGTTTGTAATCAGCTGGTGTATTGATCAAATGTTAGAGTGTGAAATCTGACTGACACACACACACACACACACACACACACACTACAGCACCGGAGAAACCTCCTCATAACTCAACATCCTGTGCGTCTCCTGATGTGAAAGCTAACAGAGGATGTGTCCAACATCTCATTTTTCTTACAGTGAGGCGTGAGATGGTCCAGTGCTCATCCAGGTGTCTGAGGAGCATTTTATTCAAAGTTGTGCAAAGACTAAACTCATCCTGCTGATTTCAAACGTATCCCACACTGCTGATTCAGCCGAGTTGTAGTGTGTTCTATACTGTAGGTGTTAGTGCATGTAAATGGTCTGATGGAGCTTCTCTCATCATTATACACACTAGACTTATTGTAAAGTCTTTGATGCCGTAGTTGCCTTTTTTAAATGTTGGCTAAACACCCGCATTGTTGCTGCTTTGATGAAGGGGTTTCGTATCATGCTCTTACATTTGGACTCATTACATTAGAGTTATGAAACTGGATATTAAAAGTAGGTGGCCGGTACGACACTGTGCATTCAGTCTTTGTAATGGAACTTTCTCCATGAGGCTACAGGGGAATAAGTTATAGGAAACTATGAAAAATGTTATCCATCTTTCACAGCCTTCCTTTGCTTCAAAATGCTTTTGTAGACTTCCTGCTGAATTGTCTTTCTCTCAAAACAGAAACACCCCTTTTTTTAATGTTTCGTTTATTCTTTGGTTATGTGTAATAATTACTCTGGATAATTGCCTCGATCCAACTGATGGTGATTGATCAAACTGTTATATAAATACTGTGCGACTAAAACAAAACTATGTGCATGCAGAGCAGCTGTCCTCTCTCTGCCTGTCCTCTCTCAGCCTGTCCTCTCTCAGCCTGTCCTCTCTCAGCCTGTCCTCTCTCAGCCTGTCCTCTCTCAGCCTGTCCTCTCTCAGCCTGTCCTCTCTCTGCCTGTCCTCTCTCTGCCTGTCCTCTCTCTGCCTGTCCTCTCTCTGCCTGTCCTCTCTCTGCCTGTCCTCTCTCTGCCTGTCCTCTCTCTGCCTGTCCTCTCTCTGCCTGTCCTCTCTCAGCCTGTCCTCTCTCAGCCTGTCCTCTCTCAGCCTGTCCTCTCTCAGCCTGTCCTCTCTCTGCCTGTCCTCTCTCTGCCTGTCCTCTCTCTGCCTGTCCTCTCTCTGCCTGTCCTCTCTCTGCCTGTCCTCTCTCAGCCTGTCCTCTCTCAGCCTGTCCTCTCTCAGCCTGTCCTCTCTCAGCCTGTCCTCTCTCAGCCTGTCCTCTCTCAGCCTGTCCTCTCTCTGCCTGTCCTCTCTCAGCCTGTCCTCTCTCAGCCTGTCCTCTCTCAGCCTCCAGTAAATCAGATAATATTCACCATAAACATAACATTAATATTTAAATATATGGACCATGTGCACCTGTACCTCAGCGAGTCGTACAGATCAGAGTAACTGCAGTGCAGAAAGTTCCAGAACAAATTAAGACCAGGACATGTGAGCTATCTTTCCTCCACAAACACACATAAAGATGTCTAGAGTGGAAGAGACATGAGATGACATCATCATTATTTAGCCAAAGCAGCAGAGAGCAGAACACACAGCGGCCGCAAACATCCGGTACACACACACACACACACACACACTACACACACACTACACACACACACACACCTGACTGATCCAAGACACTACACACACACCTGACTGATCCAAGACACTACACACACTCCTCTCTGCTTTATCATTCCTCACACACACGTCGTTGAACCTCCCTAACAAAACAGACACTGTTGTAAAATAACAAACTAAAAAAACACTTAGTTAGTATGTATATAACTCACACACTTCATTCTACAAGGTTACACCTATTTTATAAATACTGTTGCTACTTGCTTATCTACCAGAGTGTGTACTTCTGTACATATCATTTGTCCGTCTCTATCCTTTGCTGTAACGATGTATTTCCTCTTATAGTCTAGTTTTCAGTGTGAACCCGGACATGTTGAGGACCCCAAAGTGTTATGATAGAAATGTACAGTAGGGTCTCCAGCACATAGAAACTGCCGGACGCTAACCTGCACATGTTGGGCAATTTGCACAATGAGCACAAGTTGGGTTGATCAGCTATGTGGACAACAGTGAAAACATGGCTTGGTCGATTTGGAAAATGTGTGGTTTTGGAGGTTATTGAGGAGACTGAATCCAATTCTAACATTTTCAGGATCAAAAATGGCCCGAAAGTGGCAATATTTGTACCCTTTAGATCTTGTGCTCTCTGTATCCAACACTACTCATGGTAGTCAAAATCAGTCCAACGGGAGAACAAATATGTCCACTTTCTGGTTAAAACTAGGGATGTCCCGATCACCTTTTTTTGCTCCCGATCCGATTCCGATCATTTAATTTGGACAATCTGCCGATACCGATTTTTCCCGATCCGATCTTTATGCAATGCATTAAGAGAAAAAAAAGGAGAAAAGCATTCAAGTTGTCCCTTAAACCCCACGTTCTCCACCACAGATAACGGCTGGTCATCCAACGCGATGAATTCAGCTATCTTGGCTGTTATGTTTTTGGCCTTTTCACTGTTCTGGGGCAGTTTCTCTTTCCTTTTAAAAGTCTCTGAAAGTGTCGGTTGTTTCAGTGCCGTTACCTGAGTGGCCGCTGTGTACTCGTCGTGTTGTTGTTGGTGTTTGTATTAGATTGGTCGTGTTGAACGTAGCTCTGTTCTTTCCACCACGCGGAACCTCCGCCTTGCAAACATTGCATCTGGCTGTTACACTGCCTTCGCTTTCAATTTTATAATACTTCCAAACTCCTGACATTTTCTCTGTCCCGAGTCACCAGCTGAACGTAGCCTCTTGTTAGCTTACTGCTACTATTAGACACTGCGCCCACTCTGTTGCCAGATTTGAGAGAAATAAGCAACCAGGTCGATGAAAACAAGCCCAAAAGAAGCAACACATACATGATGTTGTCTAATTTTAAACCAAAACTAAGGCCTCAAGATGACTTGAAGACGTGAACATGGTCATTTTAGTTTTTTAACATTAAATAAATAAAAATATTTTATAAAAAAAAAAAAAAAAAAAAAATATTCCCGATCCCCGATTTTTTTCTCCCGATTCCGATCTTTTGAAAATCACGTGATCAGCTCCGATCCCCGATGACGTGATCGGATCAGGACATCTCTAGTTAAAACTAACATTTGTTGATCCTGAACATGTCAGAAATGGATTCAGCATCCTCAATAACCCTCAAAAGCACTCGAAAAAGTTTCCAAATCGGCCGAGACATGATTTAACTGTTGTCTGCATATGCTAATTAATGCAACTTGTGCTAATTGTGCAGATTGCCCAACACATGCAGGTTAGCATCCGGCAGTCTCTATGAGCTGGAGACCCTACTGTACATTTCTATCAGAACACTTTGGGCTACTCAACATTTCAGGGTCCACTAATCACTTAGTGGACCTGTGGGACACATAAAGGAACTCTGATTAACAAACTAACCCTAAACCAGCCTGGCTCAATGTCCCAGAAGACACTCCTTCTCTTCCTCATCCTCTCCATCCTCCATCCTCCTGCACCGGCATGCAATCGCACCATGCACGGATTCCTCCTTACCCTTCCTTTTGTAGAACCACAGCATACAGCTTCGGAAAACAGACATGGGAGAGGGCATGGAGGAGGTGGGGGGGGCGGGAGGCCCATGGACTGTGGCAGGTGGAGACCCTCGAGAAGGAGGGAAGTGGAGGAGTGGAGGAGTGGATGGAGACAAGTAGACGGATGAGAGATGAAGGTGGAGAAGGTGAGGTAAAGACCTGGAGGTGGAGGGGTAGAGTAACAAAAGAAACAGGGTTGTTTCCTGTCAGAGAGAAGGGAGCGATGCTGGAGCTCGGTTTGTAAATCCAAAAGACCTGAGCTCAGCTTCTTCAGAATTCCCGAATATTCCCAGAGGACCTCACTGCAGATGTTCCTCGAGTCAGGACGAAAAGAACAAGGAGCCTTACTTATCCCAAAACGAGTCTAAATGTACGGAAACACGTCCGGCTTCAGAGAGGCAAGCGCTCCGAATGCTCTCGCCGCTGCACGCCTTGACATTGTGGAGATTTGTGTGTGCATGTGTTTCCTGGCAGAGCAATGCAAGTGCTTTGAAAGTGTGGGGAGGGAAGAGAGAGAGAGAGAGAGAGAGAGAGAGAGAGAGAGAGAGAGAGAGAGAGAGAGAGAGAGAGAGGGAGAGAGAGGATATAAAAAGCTCACCTTGGAATGGAAAGTCTGTCTGGTCCACAGTGATGGTGAATGTGCTGTCGTCCTCGTCATCGATGCCGATCACAGCGCCCTGAACGAGAGAGAGAGAGAGAGAGAGAGAGAGAGAGAGAGAGAGAGAGAGAGAGAGAGAGAGATATGAGAGAGAGAGAGAGAGATAGAGGAGAGAGAGATGAGAGAGAGAAACGTCATGCTCTACTTTCCATGCCTCTCCTCCTGCCCTCCACATGGCTCTCTGTGCTAGATTACCCTTCGTCTGAATCAGCAGAAAACTCCACTTTAAAAAGCTCCAGTTCTTTTCCTGTCTTTCTCTGGGTTTCTCTCACACATGCAGGAACATGGCAGAGGGATGAAGAGGAAGAGGAGGAGGAGGAGGAAGAGGAGGGGTTTTGGAGGAGGAGAAAGGCAGGGAAAGGGTGGAGAGGATCAGACACCGGGGAGTTGCAGAAAGCTGGGAGGTTAGCTCATAGCAACGCTAACAGAGTGACTCAGAGCTTCCTCTCTGCAAACCTGAGAGAGATAAATATAGAAACTACTACAGAGGGTGGGGAGAATGATGTGGAAAGGTGCATTTTGCAGAGCCGTTACAATACAGTGGTGCAGGAATGAGTCCTCAAACCGAGTTAGCATGAGTTAGCCTTTTAGCCCTTTTGGTGTGGAAGTTTTTTGGAATGTGTTTTTGGTTGTTAGCCTGAAATCAGGTCTATGGTTAACTCAAGCTGAAGAGATTAAACTGTTACGATTTAAAATACGTCAGTAAATACCCCACTGGTGAATTTAAAAACTGATGTTGCTAACAAGTGTCTAAATGAGACGACTAAATGTCATCACGCCCAACACTAGCCGCCTTTAGCTTAGCGGTGGTGACGTGAAGTCATGTGACCGTGCTGTAGTTCCTTTATAGCCCAACATTAGCCACCTTTAGCTTAGCGGTGGTGACGTGAAGTCATGTGACCGTGCTGTAGTTCCTTTATAGCCCAACATTAGCCACCTTTAGCTTAGCGGTGGTGACGTGAAGTCATGTGACCGTGCTGTAGTTCCTTTATAGCCCAACATTAGCCACCTTTAGCTTAGCGGTGGTGACGTGAAGTCATGTGACCGTGCTGTAGTTCTATTATAGCCCAACATTAGCCTCCTTTAGCTTAGCGGTGGTGACGTGAAGTCATGTGACCGTGCTGTAGTTCCTTTATAGCCCAACATTAGCCACCTTTAGCTTAGCGGTGGTGATGTGAAGTCATGTGACCGTGCTGTAGTTCCTTTATAGCCCAACGTTAGCCGCCTTTAGCTTAGCGGTGGTGACGTGAAGTCATGTGACCGTGCTGTAGTTCCTTTATAGCCCAACATTAGCCACCTTTAGCTTAGCGGTGGTGACATGAAGTCATGTGACCGTGCTGTAGTTTCTTTATAGCCCAACGTTAGCCGCCTTTAGCTTAGCGGTGGTGACGTGAAGTCATGTGACCGTGCTGTAGTTCCTTTATAGCCCAACATTAGCCACCTTTAGCTTAGCGGTGGTGACATGAAGTCATGTGACCGTGCTGTAGTTCCTTTATAGCCCAACATTAGCCGCCTTTAGCTTAGCGGTGGTGACATGAAGTCATGTGACCGTGCTGTAGTTCCTTTATAGCCCAACATTAGCCACCTTTAGCTTAGCGGTGGTGACATGAAGTCATGTGACCGTGCTGTAGTTCCTTTATAGCCCAACATTAGCCGCCTTTAGCTTAGCGGTGGTGACATGAAGTCATGTGACCGTGCTGTAGTTCCTTTATAGCCCAACATTAGCCGCCTTTAGCTTAGCGGTGGTGACGTGAAGTCATGTGGACCGTGCTGTAGTTCCTTTATAGCCCAACATTAGCCACCTTTAGCTTAGCGGTGGTGACATGAAGTCATGTGACCGTGCTGTAGTTCCTTTATAGCCCAACATTAGCCGCCTTTAGCTTAGCGGTGGTGACATGAAGTCATGTGACCGTGCTGTAGTTCCTTTATAGTATGGAGTTGGGAATTTAAATGAGGAATAAAAGTCTCAATGAAACGTCAATTTAAGTAAATGTATTCAATCCTCCTCATTACATTACATGTTAGACGCTTTTATCCAAAGCGTCTTACATACTCAATACTGTGGACAATCCCCACTGGAGCACTTTGGGGTGAAGTGTCTCAGGGACACAACGACATGCTGACTGCAGTGGGGTTTGAACCTGTGAACCTGATCCAAACACCTACGGACAACCCACTGCGCCACACGCCCTCCTCTTTAGGTCAGGTGCTTTATTGGCTTCCAGACGGATACAACACATTATATTTGAGAAAATAGAGCAAATTATCTGAGTACTTATGAGGACTCAGTACCTAGAAAATCTACTGCATCTCCTCAGTGTTCACCCAGAAAGCAATAAAAAACAATTCTGTATTTGACAAAAATATTGATATAATTGAAGTCACTTTTGTTAGTTTTTATTTTTCTAATCAGTTTTGACTTTGTGTATCCTTGGTGTGAGCATTTGTGTGTGTTCATAATGATGATGTATGATGAAAAAAGCCCTACAAATATATCGTAAGGCAACTGCTGCCATCTAGTGGACATCACTGAGTGTTTACAACTCAATGTTAGGAGACATGTCTTTACTGGTGGAGCTAAAAAGTATAATATTGATATCTGTTCAAATACACCATCATTTTTGCATTTCTTATATCAGATAGAAATGACATTATACTGCATATAGTGAACCAGTCTTTAAGTATTCAGAGATATGAAATGGACCAGGACATCCTGTGTTGTTCTGCACGTTGCACAACATTTATTTTTAACAACTCATGCTTGATATGATGAACGCATTTGCAAATGACAAGTTGGTACAAAATGCATACTATACTTTCACTTTCACCTCATAACCTAGTATCACAAACAGTGACCTAAACCTACAAGTATTCCAAATATCTGGAAAAGCAGGAAATGTAGACCAAGGGTGTCCAAACATACAGAAAAACATACAAAGGGCTGGGTCACTCTCTAGAGGAGAGGTATATTGCCTCATCAGTTACGTTATAAGTCAGTTAAATGATACTTGATACTTGAATATGCTCTAAGAAACATCACAGCTCTTCATAGGGTCTCATGCATCTTGCTTACAGCTCATTCCTTAAAACAGAAGCCTCAGAGAGCTCATAATAAGGGGAAATATGGAGGGTCTATTTCAACCTTGTTATGGCAAAAAGGTAATGGGATTTTTTGTAACCAACTAAGACTTGTCAGAAAGTGTTTTCCACTTTAATTGACGGAATCTATTTGAAAAGTGGGCTGATTAACACATGCATGCTACTGTAGGTTATTACACGGGTTAGTTAGTTGAGTTATACTCGATTCTGATTGGAGCCCGACCACAGACTCGACGCGAGGCGGAGGGATATTGATCTGCCTGAAGGCGGTTCTTTTCCCCATAATGACCGCTTCGCTGCACATTATCCCGTTTATTACCAGATACGAAACTAACGACTCCACTCCCGATATTAATTGTAATGATTTTATTGACTTAAAAATGATCGTATTTCTTCCGCTAAGACAAAATAAAACTCCGCTCCGCGGCGCACCAACGGCTGGAAATGCGACAACAACTTTACGGCAGCACTGTTTGATGTTTTCTGTAACTGTCCAACTCTGTTCTGTTTCTGATCCACTAACAAGTCCCTAAACTCTGCAGAGCCCACACCGTGTTCCCGTTAGTGTTCACTTCCTCTCCGTCTTCTTCTGTTCATTTATCTGACCTCCAGCGCTCTGTCTTTTACCCTCTTTTCCTTTCTCTCCATCGATCCTCCTTAGCAACGGTCATTATAGTCCTTGACAGCGTGTCACATGTTCTAATTTGACCTATCACAATCGAGTATTCAACTAAGCCGCGTAATATATGTTTAAAAGGCTGTATTTTGGACACCCCTGATGTAAAGTATGTTTTTAGTTTATCAGAGAGAAATATGTAATATGAAGAGGACAGTGTTTATCCTGAGAAACTCACCCTGAGTCGCACGCAGCCTCTTCTGGATCCTCGCATCATCTTATCCTTTGACTGTAAATCAAACACAGAACAGTTCAGGGATTAATAGTCAGTTTTCAGGAACAACAGCGCTTAAAATACAACGTCAAGGTTGTAGTGTGTATGTACTAACACAATATCCACGAGCAATATCATCCAACGTAGTCTACTTTCTTAATAAGCGTTAACAGAGAAAACTCTCAGGTCTGTATTTGAATGTAGAAACATGAATTACACAATAATGGTAAAGCAAAGAGAGGATATTAGAAACTGATGAAGACACATGTGAGTGAAGTCATTTCACTTGAATTTAAAGAGGCCCTATTGTGGTGTTCCCTTTCCTGTAGTGTGTTCGTTAGGTTTCAATGCATGTAAATGGTCTGCAAAGGCCAAAATCCCTGTGTTTCCCGTGCCTGAAACGCCTCCATTGGACTCCTTTGTTTACTTCTGGAACATTATGACATCACTAATCGATTGAGCATTAATACAGTTACGGCAGCTTTATTTTCACGATAAGATAACATTTTATTGTCAAATTAAGTGTGACATTTCTCCGGCATAACAACGGCGTTATGTGCAATATCAACAAGGACAAATACTTAAGACAAAAACTAGGGAACAGATATTCAACCTAACATTACAGTCACTGAAGAGAACATCTTCAGGACTGTTCAACGTGTATTAGATGTATTTAATTTAAGGATGAACTGGTGTACAAAAGAGTGCAATGGTCTAACGTTGATAAGAGAGACCCTGTATTATTGAATTTTCACTTTTCAGGACATGTTCAGGTTGGCGTCAGATACAATGTTGTTGACAAGCCACAGTGAGTTATTCAGGTCAGTTAAAGTGTGTAGTTTCTCAAAGGGTTGACCTACAGACTTTAAGCAGAACATGTTCAAATCCATTTAAAACTTATGACTGCAACTATTTCAAGACTGAGATCACTTGATTAAATGAGTCCAGCCTCATTTTCTCCCTGACGGTTTGAAGGAGAATCTGCAGCTTCATTAACCCTTTATGGGTATTTGGACTTTGGTGAAGTAATGTAATGACTGGAGTTGTAGATCAGAGACAAATAACCGTGTCTTAAACATGTCATTAAAAGATGGTTTAAGAGGATTTGTTGTTGTTGTTGTTGTGAGAGAACAACTGTAGAGTTACTGTCTACAGTTAAATAAGATAAATGAATGCTTTGACGTCTCAGTCAAGTTGTTTAGAGGAACAGACAGCTCTATGTTTTTCTTAAAAGTTATTTGTCAAACAGAAGTGACAGTTTATTGTCTGCATTGCTCTTGACTTTAATCAGAGTACACTGACGGCATATTCAGAGGTGGGAGAAGTACTCAGATCTGGTACTTGAGTAAAAGTAGAAGTACTCGGATCTTGTACTGGAGTAAAAGTAGAAGTACCAGAGTGTAGGAATACTCTGTTACAGTAAAAGTCCTGTATTCAAAATGTTCCTCAAGTAAAAGTAGAAAAGTATTATCATCAAAATATAGTGAAAGTAGCGACAGTAAAAGTAGTGATTGTGCAGATTGGTCCATTTCAGAATAATATATATGATATGTTTTATAATGATTGATCATGAAAGTGTTCTCAAAGCTGGTAAAGGTGCAGCTAGTTTGAATGACTTTGTATACTGCAGGGTAGCTTGTGGATTTACTCCAGGTGGAACTAAAGTCTGATTTAACACTTGATTATATTTCACATCATTCATCATACATGTAGTGGAGTAAAAGTACACCATTTACCTCTGAACTGTAGAAGTACAACGTAGCAGAACATGGAATTGCTCAAGTAAAGTACAAGTACCTCTAAATTGTACTTAAGTTCAGTATAATTGAGTAAATCTATTCTGTTGACGTTGGATTTATCAAAAATCTAACTGACAGCCACAGTCTCCTCCCGCAGTGTCTTATTATCTATTTAGCGAACGAACCAGGGAGTGACGAGACTCCAGTATAACTCCCAAAGACAAACAATGTCCCTAAAAATGATAAAACTATGTATTTGTATCGCTTTATTCTGTTAACTACTCACAATAACGTTTAGCCGAGTGGGTGTTGTCTAGCTTTGATAGCTAGCTACATTAGCGTAAGTGTGGGGAAGAATACTGCCACTCTATTGGTCAGTTGGTTTGCAGGGAGCGTTTCTATTGGCTGACACACGGATCCGTCATCACGGAGCCCCGCCTCTCACTGCCAGCTGAGACTTCTGACAAACACAAGGCCCTTATCCTGTCTGACAGCCAGTAACAAGTTGCTCTAAAAACCTCCATAAGGTATCAAATCAGCGGTTAGAACCCTGTGAACTGACCGTGTAGTAAGACAGTAATCCGGCGTTGTAGTCCAGCACGAACCAGCGGTACTGCCATCCCTTCATCACGTTGGTCCACTTGCTGAGCGGCCCCTCCATGATGGACGCCATCTTTACAACAGGAGGAGCTGGGAGGAGCCGGATAAGAGAGGGGGGGAGGGGGGAGCGGTGCCCGGCGAACGGGGGGGTGTTACCGGCAGGGGGCCGCCGGTGATGGTCCTGGAGCTTTTTTTTCTTTTTTTATAGTTATATTGTCATCATTATTTCAATGTAAGTCAATTATGTTTGAGTTAGAGAGTGTATTGATAATCATTAAATGTAAAACAAAAAATCCCCCAATTACCGGATAACAAGGCGGGGAGGAGCCGGGGAGAGGAGGGGAATGTTGCCGGGGAACGGGGGGTGTTACCGGCAGGGGGCAGTCGGTGATGATGCTGGACCTTTATATTTTCATTATTATTTAATTATAAGTCCATTCTGTTTGAGTTAGTGAGTGTATTGATTATAATGAAATGTCAAACAAAAAAATCCCCAATTACAGGATAACAAGGCGTGGAGAGACGGTGATGGTGCTGAAGCTACATGATACATTTAGACTTCATTTGATGGTAATCTTGCTGGTTATTTATGGTAAATTGCTTAAACCTAACCCAGAATTTCATTGGATTTTTATGCGTGATTCAACTTTAAAGTCGGGCCGGCTAAAATGATTGGTCGTGCTTTTTACAGTACTACGGCTTAAATGTTTTTATGGATTTGTTGTCAAAGCACTTCAGATATTCATTGCTATCGGGATGTTAAGAGCATTCCATGGAATATAAAAAGTGTATCTCGAGCCGGTTTCTCAAACTTACCTACCCCACCTTTAATACAATCTATTTCTCTTATATTTTTTTGTCATCATTTCAATGTATCTTTAAGTCCACGTGTTTAATACTTAAGCAAAAGTGATGAGGAAATCTTTGAATAATCCATATTTAAAAAAAGAAAAGAAAAAGGTTGATACTTGAGAAATTGATTTTTAATCATCAGTATTATCTCCATTTAAATCCATGTTTTTTAATGTTATTTTCAATATTAATAAGGACATAAACAATGATGGTGATGGAGTTTAAACATGATACATTTAACATTGAATGAATGGTAATCTTGTTTGTAATATAAAGTGTATTGTAGATAAATAAATGCAATAGATACTAGGGAGGCGTGTGGCGCAGTGGGCTAGTGCGTTGGCTGCAGTCAGCATGTCGTTGTGTCCCTGAGACACTTCACCCCAAACTGCTCCTGGGGGGATTGCCCACAGTATTGAGTCACTTTGGATAAAAGCGTCTAACATGTAACATGTGATATAATGTATTGCATTTATGCGAGTTTAAAAATATACTTATTCTAAGGGGCCATGTATATATTTGATCAATTAATATATATACCTAGTCAGTGTTATCATGATTATAATTGCACTGTTAGAAGTGATTGGAGGCAGACGAAGAACCAATAGCAGAGCAGTATTCATCAATATCTTTATTATTTACAATAGGCTTAACACTGATAAGCAAAACTTCACAGTAATATAACGTGAGCTTTAAATTAAAAAAAAAACACAAAATATATATTTTGTACAATAAAAAAGTTAATGTTAACGTCTCTGCCTTTTTTTAAATCCCTGTTTAGATTCACATATTCCATCATTGTGTGTGTGTTGCTTGACATTGCACTCGTACAGCTGAAGAAGTGGCCTTTGGTTTCATGTGAACACGAGCTCCAGAAAAACAACAGAAAACACAGGCGACATAAATAATAACAACGAAGAGGACTGAGAATGAGATCTGTGGAAAAATCATTGAGAACAAATCGATTTTTTGACAAATTGAATATCTTTGTATTTCTTTAAATAAGTTTGATTTTGGAGGTTAAGTTTGACTTGATGAGGCTTTTTCTTTCCACAACTATGCTCCACAAATGATCAAGAAGCAATTTTTAAATAAATGTGTTGTGGCTTCATCGTTCCTGAAGCTGCAGTGTTTCTCCAAAGTGTTGTTGTGCATGTTTGTTCGAGGGAAATCAACCAGATGTTGCTGCACTCACAGCGTTAACGACCTCCAATAATTAACCTTAGCAACCGAGTATCTACATACTTATTTTAATAGACAAATGCACTTTTAAATTTCAATTTAGCATCTGAGTAATCAACCTCCAAGTTAACAGAAAAGCTCATGGAAAATGGAAGACATGAATGTTTTTTTTTAATGATGGATTTTAAACATTGCCTGTTTCTCTCTCTCAGTGAAAGACATGAATCATTTGCTCACAAAAAGGCACCAAGAATCATCAAATAAAAATCACACGGCGTTTCTTCTCTCCGTGTTTCTGTAAAATCACAGCGAATAGAAATCAGTTCGTCTCACAGGATCCTGTTTGAACATTAAAATACTGACGCACGACATGAACTGAAAAACAACGTTTACTCTGCAGTCAATCAAGTGTCATTAGCATGTTGTTTTGAAAGCGTTTTGGACCTGCAGTACAGATTCGGTTTTGTAGTATGCGACATGTGAGGCCGTATCCAGTGTACATTTAGATGTGAAAAGCAAAGAAAAATGTTTAATTTGTGCTCAAAAAACTGAGCAACTGCTTCTGGACTTTAGTATTTAGTGTGACCAAAATGAGAAGTATGGGCCAATACAAAAAAGAAAAGTATAATAAATAATAATACAAATAAAAAAATGGCACCTTTAGAGATTCATGCAGATGATCATTCGCCCGGGTTCAGAAGGGAAGAATAATACATTCATATATTCAGGTATTCTTCAGTCAGACACGCTCTATATGCTGTAAGCACTCATACATCCTCTGTTTCCTGGATATGAAATAAATCCAATATTTACATCTCTCAAAATAGCTCTGTGCTTTTTAATAAAAAGAAAAAAAAGGAATAATTTAAAAATTCAAGTTCGTACATAGACATTCTGAAAAAAAGCCAAATAATGTACAATGTGCTGAAGACATACTGCAGTTTGTCGGTAGAGAGATCAGTGTGTGTGTGTGTGTGTGTGTGTGTGTGTGTGTGTGTGTGTGTGTGTGTGTGTAGCAGGTCTCTGTCTTTTTTGCAGTGTTCATTTCGTGGAAGATTTCGAGGCACTGAGGACACGACAAGGCTTCAGGGATTGGATCAGTCCGTCAGAAGGACACTTATAGAAACGCCGCCCCAGTTCTGCTCCTGCGCTCCCACCAGACAGACGTCACTGTGCATTCAAACTGGACTTCAATACTGAAATGCTCTCGGAGACGGCACCGTGTTAGCGTGTGGACACTGAAGACAAATGAAACACCATCTGGTCATGTGGGGAATAAAGGGGGGGGGTCTCTGTTTGGATTTGATCAACCTGTTTTTTTGACGTTTCATTTGAGCTTATTTACACGCTTCTCTCAAGCTGTGTTCCCTTTGTGTTTACACGTCTGTTATTATTCGATAAGACCAAGACAAACTGATTTTGGGAGATTCATGGTTTTATCACATTTGTCCCTCTAGTTAAAAATACTGATCATGAAATGTAAATGCAAATGGGTGTCACATTAAGACCCCGACATCTTGAAATCACATGGACTTTAGGATAAAATGGCTTTTGAAAGGTTTACGATGATCCCCAGACACTGAGCTAAATATCTCACTAGTGATTCACTTTGGAGCTGCAACTAATGAGGGTCTGAGATCAGCTGTTTAGTGTTTAACATGTCAGAAAATAGTGGAAAATGTCAGACAGAAATCCAGATTCAATCTTTTTACTTTGATAGAAATCAGAAAAAGCAACTAATCCTAATATTTGAGGCTGAAAACAGTTTTTTTTTTTTTTAACCATTCTTGCTTTAAAAGTTGATTTAAATCGCTGCAGCTCTACTCGACACTGTTTGAGGTTTGTCAGTAAACACGTATTTTGCTCAGTATCTGACGGATAAACAGACAGACTTGAGATCTTTCCGAACAGCTGATACACTCAACATTCGTTAACCGAAGAGGCTTTATCGTTGCAGGACTGAAGCCACCTGTAGTCTGTGTGTGTTGGCTGTAAACAGTGAGTGCTCTGAGGTGCTGTCCAGATCCGCCTCGCAAACAGCTGTAAAAAGGAACCAGAAGAAAGGAGGGAAACCAGTCTGACCGGCGTGATGTCACAGTGATGTCACAGTGATGTCACAGCCCCTCCCCGTCTATTCTTAGTGTTCAAATGTGAATATAAGACCCTCTGCAGACCGTCTGACTTTTGTATTTCGCCGCAGACACCTTCTTGCAAGAATAAACTCCCAAAAAGACCGTCTTATTTCAAGAATCTTCAAGGTTTTCTCACCCGTTTACTATTATTTGTTAGTGTGTGTGTCGATACATTTCCACCAGTGATGTCACAGTGATGTCACAGTGATGTCACAGTGATGTCACAGTGATGTCACAGCCCCTCCTCTTCCATTCTTGGTGTCCTAATGTGAAATCGGGGACCTCCTGACTTCTGCATTTCGCCGCAGACTGCTTGACACCTTCTTGCCAGAATAAGGTCCTTAAAAGACTGTTTATTTCAAGAGTCTTCATTCTTTCATGATGTCACAGTGACGTCACAGTGATGTCATAGTGATGTCACAGTGATGTCACAGCTGTTACCTCTGCACCACGTCTCTGATTTCTCTCACGCAGCCCTGCAGGTTCTCCAGGTTCTCCAGCACCGTGCCCCCCCCTCCCCCTCCCCCCCCCCGAGGCCCTCAGCTCCTGCAGGCTGACTTCCAGCTTCCCCACCGCCTCCCGAAAAGCAAATTTGTTCCTCATCTGCGGGATGACGTCCACGTACCCGGAGCATCGGTCCAGCAGCTGCAGCCCCGCGTCCAGGACCACACTGTTGGAGGGGGGGGAGTCAGAGGGGGAGGAGTCGCGGAGGACGACTATCAACGAATCGGCACACTCCAACAACGCCTCTCGACCCACCCGCTCGGGGGGGACGCCGCGATCCGCTTGCTGTCGAATCCTCCGAAAACCCGCTTTGTTAGTGGACGAAGAGGGAGTGGATCCGTTGGCCATTTTTGAAGGAGTGCTTGTGGGAGGAATCTGAGGCGGCGGCACTGAAGGTCTCCCCGTCGTCATCATAGTTCCTCCTCCTTTCCCGGTTCGAATCCCTTTCTCCCCGTTTACCTCCCCCTCCTCCTCCCCCCCCCGTCGTTTCGCTGTATGAGTGTTGGTTCCGTAGCGTAGGAGGCGGAGGAGGAGCACATTTGGGTTTTACGAGCCGCGGACGATCGGGGTTTTCGCTGAGCAGCTTGAAGCGGTTCCCCTGGGAGTCGAGAGCCACCAGGTGCACGTCGGGGGGCTTCAGCGTGGGGGAGATCAGCACCGGCACCTTGTGGTTGTGGGTCTGAGAGGAGGAGGAGGATAACGTCTTAGAGGCGGAGGAAGAAGGAGTCTTAGGGGAGGATGAAGAAGTCTTACAGGTGGAGGAGGAAGGAGTCTTAGGGGAGGATGAAGAGGTCTTAGATGGCGAGGACCAGTTTTGTTGTTGTCGATCCACTACAAGGTCCGATTCCCCCGCTTCCCCCCCGACTCCCGGTACCCTCACCCCCGTGCCCCTGGGAGCCATCTTGGCTTTGGGTCTCTCCCTGATCTGAGCCGTCCCCTCGTCCGGTTGCCGTCCGTTCTCCGGCGTGGAGCCGCTGGAGGACGTTCTCTCCAGCGGGGGTTTTGCACTTCGGTTTCTGGGTAAAGTCAAAGCCATTCGCTCCAAATCTGGCAACCCGGCGGACATGGAGGAGGTGGAGTTAGACCTGGGGAAGGGTTTGGAAAGCCCCCCTACTGGTAAAGTCCCCACCACCCCCTCCTCAGATGAAGAAATAGCTGTTTTCCCCAGTCCGAAGCCCTAAAGTCCGTTTTATGAGTCTCGGCGTGAAAAAACCCGCCAATCCGCTCCAGCTACTAGTGCTAACTTGCGCCGCTAAACCCCCCCCTGGTGAGGGTTTTTGTCCGAAAGCAGCACCACAGCAGCGAGACTGGGGCTGAGGGGGGTCGCTATGGGAGTGGGAGTGGGAGGGGGAGGCGGAGAACCCCCCCACGACGCTGCTGTCCGATTGGGGGAGAGGAGGAGGCGCCGAAAAGTCCGCCGTCGGCTCGTATTTCTTGTGAGGCTGAGTTTCCATTTCCCGAAAAGAGCTGCTCCTTTTCGGGGGAGTGGGGAGGTTCTGGGAGGAAGACGAGGAGGAGGAAGAGGATTTCTTCTTGATGAAGGAGCTGAAGAAGCCGGTCTTTCGGTCCCGTGTGAAGGTGCCCAAATCCTGAGCGTCGTCTAAAAGGCCGCCGGGGGATTTATCTCGGGAAAGTTGTTTTCGGGGTAACGCTGGGGAGCTGCCCGACCGACTGTCCCCCCCCAGGAGAGAAGAAGCCCAGCCTGAAGAGAGAGAGAGGAGAGGAGAGGGAGGGTTACAAATATACAACTACATTTAAAAAGGACACATTCTGATCATTTGAAGGTTCATATCAGTCTCTAGTGTCTCTACTGGGACACGTCTCCATGCTTTAATGTTCAAAAAGCTCTTATTCTTTTGCTTGGACTCCTTTGTTTACTTCCGAAACATAGTGACATCACTCACGCTCCAACACATTGTAGGTGATAGGCTGAGGGGCGGGACATCTCTAAGCGGTTGACCAATCACAACAGAGCCGGCCAGCTAACCAATCAGAGCGAGAGGGTTGGAAATATGCAACAACATTTAAAGAGGGCATATTCTGCTCACTTTCAGGTGTATATCAGTATGTAGTGTCTCTACTTTAAAGAGTCCTCTCCTGCTGATGTTCAGGTGTATATCAGTATGTAGTGTCTCTACTTAAAGAGTCCTCTCCTGCTGATGTTCAGGTGTATATCAGTATGTAGTGTCACTACTTTAAAGAGTCCTCTCCTGCTGATGTTCAGGTGTATATCATATGTAGTGTCTCTACTTTAAAGAGTCCTCTCCTGCTGATGTTCAGGTGTATATCAGTATGTAGTGTCTCTACTTTAAAGAGTCCTCTCCTGCTGATGTTCAGGTGTATATCAGTATGTGGTGTCTCTACTTTAAAGAGTCCTCTCCTGCTGATGTTCAGGTGTATATCAGTATGTAGTGTCTTTAAAGAGTCCTCTCCTGCTGATGTTCAGGTGTATATCAGTATGTAGTGTCTCTACTTTAAAGAGTCCTCTCCTGCTGATGTTCAGGTGTATATCAGTATGTAGTGTCTCTACTTTAAAGAGTCCTCTCCTCCCGCTGATGTTCAGGTGTATATCAGTATGTAGTGTCTCTACTTTAAAGAGTCCTCTCCTGCTGATGTTCAGGTGTATATCAGTATGTAGTGTCTCTACTTTAAAGAGTCCTCTCCTGCTGATGTTCAGGTGTATATCAGTATGTAGTGTCTCTACTTTAAAGAGTCCTCTCCTGCTGATGTTCAGGTGTATATCAGTATGTAGTGTCTCTACTTTAAAGAGTCCTCTCCTGCTGATGTTCAGGTGTATATCAGTATGTAGTGTCTCTACTTTAAAGAGTCCTCTCCTGCTGATGTTCAGGTGTATATCAGTATGTGGTGTCTCTACTTTAAAGAGTCCTCTCCTGCTGATGTTCAGGTGTATATCAGTATGTAGTGTCTTTAAAGAGTCCTCTCCTGCTGATGTTCAGGTGTATATCAGTATGTAGTGTCTCTACTTTAAAGAGTCCTCTCCTGCTGATGTTCAGGTGTATATCAGTATGTAGTGTCTCTACTTTAAAGAGTCCTCTCCTGCTGATGTTCAGGTGTATATCAGTATGTAGTGTCTCTACTTTAAAGAGTCCTCTCCTGCTGATGTTCAGGTGTATATCAGTATGTAGTGTCTCTGCTTTAAAGAGTCCTCTCCTGCTGATGTTCAGGTGTATATCAGTATGTAGTGTCTCTGCTTTAAAGAGTCCTCTCCTGCTGATGTTCAGGTGTATATCAGTATGTATTGTCTCTACTTTAAAGAGTCCTCTCCTGCTGATGTTCAGGTGTATATCAGTATGTAGTGTCTCTACTTTAAAGAGTCCTCTCCTGCTGATGTTCAGGTGTATATCAGTATGTATTGTCTCTGCTTTAAAGAGTCCTCTCCTGCTGATGTTCAGGTGTATATCAGTATGTAGTGTCTCTACTTTAAAGAGTCCTCTCCTGCTGATGTTTCAGGTTGTATATAAGTAATGTCGTGTCTCTGCTTTAAAGAGTCCTCTCCTGCTGATGTTCAGGTGTTATATCAGTATGTAGTGTCTCTACTTTAAAGAGTCCTCTCCCGCTGATGTTCAGGTGTATATCAGTAGGTAGTGTCTCTACTTTAAAGAGTCCTCTCCTGCTGATGTTCAGGTGTATATCAGTATGTAGTGTCTCTACTTTAAAGAGTCCTCTCCTGCTGATGTTCAGGTGTATATCAGTATGTAGTGTCTCTACTTTAAAGAGTCCTCTCCTGCTGATGTTCAGGTGTATATCAGTATGTAGTGTCTCTACTTTAAAGAGTCCTCTCCTGCTGATGTTCAGGTGTATATCAGTATGTAGTGTCTCTACTTTAAAGAGTCCTCTCCTGCTGATGTTCAGGTGTATATCAGTATGTAGTGTCTCTACTTTAAAGAGTCCTCTCCTGCTGATGTTCAGGTGTATATCAGTATGTAGTGTCTCTGCTTTAAAGAGTCCTCTCCTGCTGATGTTCAGGTGTATATCAGTATGTAGTTGTCTCTGCTTTAAAGAGTCCTCTCCTGCTGATGTTCAGGTGTATAATCAGTATGTATTGTCTCTACTTTAAAGAGTCCTCTCCTGCTGATGTTCAGGTGTATATCAGTATGTAGTGTCTCTACTTTAAAGAGTCCTCTCCTGCTGATGTTCAGGTGTATATCAGTATGTCGTGTCTCTGCTTTAAAGAGTCCTCTCCTGCTGATGTTCAGGTGTATATCAGTATGTATTGTCTCTGCTTTAAAGAGTCCTCTCCTGCTGATGTTCAGGTGTATATCAGTATGTAGTGTCTCTACTTTAAAGAGTCCTCTCCTGCTGATGTTCAGGTGTATATCAGTATGTAGTGTCTCTACTTTAAAGAGTCCTCTCCCGCTGATGTTCAGGTGTATATCAGTATGTAGTGTCTCTACTTTAAAGAGTCCTCTCCTGCTGATGTTCAGGTGTATATCAGTATGTAGTGTCTCTACTTTAAAGAGTCCTCTCCCGCTGATGTTCAGGTGTATATCAGTATGTAGTGTCTCTGCTTTAAAGAGTCCTCTCCTGCTGATGTTCAGGTGTATATCAGTATGTAGTGTCTCTACTTTAAAGAGTCCTCTCCTGCTGATGTTCAGGTGTATATCAGTATGTAGTGTCTCTACTTTAAAGAGTCCTCTCCTGCTGACGTTCAGGGTGAATTCCTTACTTGATATCGTTCTCTCTTCAATGTTTGCATGTGAAAATAAATGCATAGAAAGAAGAAATATTAGTCAGACATCAAAATGTAAGTCTCAGCTTTTGTGATTTTGTGAATATGAAACCAACACTTGGTGATGATTTATGAGCATTTCCTTGTGCTTGGTGACGATGTGATTGCATGCACTTTGGATTGGATTTATGACACAATGATGCTTCTGTTCACCTCTATAAATGAACACTTATATTTATGGACAAAAGCATGAGAAAGAAGGAGGTAAAAAAAACACAGGTCAGAGCGTCCTCTACACACACATGGAAACACACACACACACGAGACAACATTTTATTTACAATATAAAATAAGCAATAATTTAAAACGAGACAAGACAGACAATGGTTTGGGAATTTAATAAAAGGGTTAGCAAATTGTAATACAGGGTAGTGACCACGTTTTGACAACACAGATAACATGTTTCAATGTAACACACAGGCAACATGCAGATCACTCACATTTGTTTTTTAGGATGGTTGGAGAAATGATAATTAAATGGGACACAGGTTCGTTAGAAAAGGACCTAAAGTGCTAATTCTTGCAGTAAAAAAAATGCTGTGTTTGTTTACGGAGTAGAGCTGGTGAAGACGACACGTTGAGATAATCTGTTGAAATCAATAAATGAATGAATTGTTAATATTGTGTGTTTGATATTTTAAGTGTATTTTTTTATGTACATTTTTACAATTAATTTGAATCTGTAAAAGTGCCCTATAATAAAAAGTATTATATATTATTATTGATTTATTTATTATGATTTCTTATAATTATTGACATAATACATATATTTCATATGGTTATATTTACTTACATTTTTCCATATTTTAATGTGTTTAAGTTAGCATAAAGCTACTTTTACTCAAGTAAATATCTGAGTACTTCTTAATTAAAATGTATTATATTATATTTATTTATTTTGTATTATATTATTTTTTTAAATATAATAATAATAAAGATTTTTGTATTTATTATTATTGTTAATGGTTAATTTTACTTAACATTGTACCATGTTTTAATGTGTGTCAGATAACATTGACGTTAGCATAGTGCTAAATAATTAGCGTAATCCAGAAACAGCTGTTATCCTAATCCTCAATTTGGTGATTAATGTTAGCAGACGTGCCCCCACACAGCTGTTATCCTACGATGTAGCTGTTATCCTACGATGTAGCTGTTATCCTACGATGTAGCTGTTATCCTACGATGTAGCTGTTATCCTACGATGTAGCTGTTATCCTACGATGTAGCTGTTATCCTACGATGTAGCTGTTATCCTACGATGTAGTATAGAATATGTTTGTCTCGCTGCAGGACAGATGTGTTTTCTCTCAGTTGTTGAGGAAGATGACGGCCCTCCTCTTCAGTCGCCGGGCTCTCCTCCGCTGCAGCGTGCTCTGAACGTCTCCTTCGCTCTGATCAACACCTGCACAATCATAAAGTGGAGCGTGGTGGCGGGGTGGGGCTGTACCTGAGTGGCTGCCGGGGTCCACGCGGCCCTCCAGTCCTCCCTCGATGTTCTCCTTGTTCTCCGTGTGTTTGTGCAGCAGCGTGCGAGACTTTGAAGGCAGCAGCGGCGTGTCGAAGGGAAGGAGAGGAGCCCCGAGGGAAGAGGAGGTTTTACACAACTCCTCTGCCACCTCTGAGGAGAGAGGAGAGAGGAAACACTCAGTTAGGAGGAGAGGAGAGAGGAAACACTCAGTTAGGAGGAGAGGAGACACTCAGTTAGGAGGAGAGGAGAGAGGAGACACTCAGTTAGGAGGAGAGGAGAGAGGAGACACAGTTAGGAGGAGAGGAGAGGAAACACTCAGTTAGGAGGAGAGGAGAGAGGAAACACAGTTAGGAGGAGAGGAGAGGAGACACTCAGTTAGGAGGAGAGGAGAGAGGAGACACAGTTAGGAGGAGAGGAGAGGAAACACTCAGTTAGGGAGGAGAGGAGAGAGGAGACACAGTTAGGAGGAGAGGAGAGGAGACACTCAGTTAGGAGGAGAGGAGAGAGGAGACACAGTTAGGAGGAGAGGAGAGGAAACACTCAGTTAGGAGGAGAGGAGAGAGGAAACACTCAGTTAGGAGGAGAGGAGAGAGGAAACACAGTTAGGAGGAGAGGAGAGAGGAAACACTCAGTTAGGAGGAGAGGAGACAGGAAACACTCAGTTAGGAGGAGAGGAAACACTCAGTTAGGAGGAGAGGAGAGAGGAGACACTCAGTTAGGAGGAGAGGAGAGAGGAAACACTCAGTTAGGAGGAGAGGAAAGAGGAAACACTCAGTTAGGAGGAGAGGAGACAGGAAACACTCAGTTAGGAGGAGAGGAGAGAGGAAACACTCAGTTAGGAGGAGAGGAGAGAGGAAACACTCAGGAGGAGAGGAGAGAGGAAACACTCAGTTAGGAGGAGAGGAGAGAGGAAACACTCAGTTAGGAGGAGAGGAGAGGAGAGAGGAAACACTCAGTTAGGAGGAGAGGAGAGAGGAAACACTCAGTTAGGAGGAGAGGAGAGGAGAGAGGAAACACTCAGTTAGGAGGAGAGGAGACACTCAGTTAGGAGGAGAGGAGAGAGGAGACACTCAGTTAGGAGGAGAGGAGAGAGGAAACACTCAGTTAGGAGGAGAGGAGAGAGGAAACACTCAGTTAGGAGGAGAGGAGAGGAGAGAGGAAACACTCAGTTAGGAGGAGAGGAGAGGAGAGAGGAAACACTCAGGAGGAGAGGAGACACTCAGTTAGGAGGAGAGGAGAGAGGAGACACTCAGTTAGGAGGAGAGGAGAGAGGAAACACTCAGTTAGGAGGAGAGGAGAGGAAACACTCAGTTAGGAGGAGAGGAGAGAGGAAACACTCAGTTAGGAGGAGAGGAGAGAGGAAACACAGTTAGGAGGAGAGGAGAGAGGAAACACTCAGTTAGGAGGAGAGGAGACAGGAAACACTCAGTTAGGAGGAGAGGAAACACTCAGTTAGGAGGAGAGGAGAGAGGAGACACTCAGTTAGGAGGAGAGGAGAGAGGAAACACTCAGTTAGGAGGAGAGGAGACAGGAAACACTCAGTTAGGAGGAGAGGAGAGAGGAAACACTCAGTTAGGAGGAGAGGAGAGAGGAAACACTCAGTTAGGAGGAGAGGAGACAGGAAACACTCAGTTAGGAGGAGAGGAGAGAGGAAACACTCAGTTAGGAGGAGAGGAGAGAGGAAACACTCAGGAGGAGAGGAGAGAGGAAACACTCAGTTAGGAGGAGAGGAGAGAGGAAACACTCAGTTAGGAGGAGAGGAGAGAGGAAACACTCAGTTAGGAGGAGAGGAGAGGAGAGAGGAAACACTCAGTTAGGAGGAGAGGAGAGGGGAAACACTCAGTTAGGAGGAGAGGAGAGGAGAGAGGAAACACTCAGTTAGGAGGAGAGGAGAGGGGAAACACTCAGTTAGGAGGAGAGGAGAGGAGAGAGGAAACACTCAGTTAGGAGGAGAGGAGAGAGGAAACACTCAGTTAGGAGGAGAGAGGAAACACTCAGTTAGGAGGAGAGAGGAAACACTCAGTTAGGAGGAGAGAGGAAACACACAGTTAGGAGGAGAGAGGAAACACTCAGTTAGGAGGAGAGAGGAAACACTCAGTTAGGAGGAGAGGAGAGAGGAGAGAGGAGGTGCCCACTTCATTATTTTTTGGCAGCAACTTGGAGATTCTTAACATCCTCCAGGATCTATGGAGCTGCTCGCCTCGAGGATTCTAACATTTTCCCGTAAACTGTGGGGTTTCTTTGGGAGTTTTTCATGTGAGGGTCTAAGGACAAAGGGGTCATGTCTAAGGACAGAGGGGTGAGGGTCTAAGGACAGAGGAGTCATGTCTAAGGACACAGGGGTCATGTCTAAGGACAGAGGGGTCATGTCTAAGGACAGAGGGGTCATGTCTAAGGACAGAGGGGTCATGTCTAAGGACAGAGGGGTCATGTCTAAGGACACAGGGGTCATGTCTAAGGACAGAGGGGTCATGTCTAAGGACAGAGGGGTCTAAGGACAGAGGGGTCATGTCTAAGGACACAGGGGTCATGTCTAAGGACAGAGGGGTCATGTACCTTCAGAGATGCTGGAGTCGTGGAACATGGTCTCAAAGGCCTGATGGATCTCTGCAAACGAGGGACGGTCCAACGGACTCCACTGCCAGCCTGAAGGAGACGAGAGGAAGACACGTCAAACAAGGAAGTCAAGTATATGAAGACTATCAACTATTTCAAACAGGC